CCACTTCAAGCGTCCTACCGTGGTGCGAGTGACCGTGGCCGCCTGGCTCGGCGTGCACGTGGCCGCTGTCACCATGATGTGTGTGGGGGGCTGCAGGGAACGGCAAGAAGGAGGGATGGTAAGCATCACTGACGCGTCCCCGTTGTCCCCAAGAGGAGGGAGAGCGGGGGACGGGGACATGTACTCACCGAGGGCGTGGGGGATGAGGTGGAGGAAGGCGTCTCCCAGCAGCCCCCCCGCCGCGAAGCTGAGGAGCAGTTTGAGGAGCGCCTGGTGCCGGGGAGCATTGGACTCCACTGGGATGAGGAAGAGGACAAGGTACGGGGCGGCACTGATCACCAGGGTGGCCGCCATCGTCTGCGGAGGAGGGGGGAGGTGACGCACAAAGAGGGTGTCACAGGGTGTCACTTCCCTCCCACAACGCTTGTCCCATGGGGACATTGTGGGAGGTGGGGGTCCTTGGGGTGGGGGGGACACGACACACACTCACGTGCATCCACAGAGTCACCGTGTCCGACCGTGGTGATGGTTTGGAGGGATCCGGGGGGAAACGCTCGTGCGAGGGGTGGCGGGCGTCCTGGTGCGAGTGGCCGTGATACACATCCTCATGCGAGTGGCCGTGGCCATGGTGCAAGCCCTCGTGTGAGTGGCCGTGATACATGCCTTCATGCGAGTGGTCGTGGCCGTGGTGCAAGCCCTCATGCGAGTGGCCATGGTACATGCCTTCATGAGAATGGCCGTGGTGCAAGCCCTCGTGCGAGTGGCCGTGCTCGTGGTACATGCCCTCGTGTGAGTGGCCATGGCCATGCCCATGATACAAGTCCTCGTGTGAGTGGCCGTGCCCGTGGTATGCGTCCTCGTGCGAGTGGCCGCCCTCGTGCGAGGTGGCGGGGGCTGGCAACAGGCAGAGGGCCAGCACGACGCTGGCGGCGAGGGCGGTGCCGAATCCTCGCATCCGGAGCGCCACCGCCATCGCCCCGGTGAGGGGACACGGCTCAACCGACGGCTCCTACCATAGAGACGAAGGGATGAGAGTCCAGACAAGCCCTGATGGCTCCCAACGGGGTGTGTTGGTGGGGGGGGGGGTGTCAGACCACAGAGACAGAGCCTAGAGCGGCACCTCTCTATGGTGCCTTAAAGCGGCACCAAGGGGCCATATCACAGAGTTAAAGGCAAAAGGAGCCAGAGCTGTGCCAACCCTACCATAAAGACAAAGGGATGAGAGTCCAGAGCGCCCACCCAGGACCACCATAGAGATGGGGAAGGGGCGGCCTGAGCGGCCACCCCATAGAACCAGGCGCGAAACCATAGAGACGGAAAACCATAGAGAGAAGGAGCGGGGGGGGTGGTGGATAGAGCGGCTCCA